TGATCAACATTGGTATTGTACTTAAATTTTGGAAAATTTTAATGGGTGTTATTAATTAACTTTAAGAATTATGAGGGTCAGATACTTATGACCGCTACTGTAGCTAAGGATTATCTATCAATTCAAGCAACATCAGTTCCATCAGAAAGAACCTTTTCAATTTCAGACTTAATTATTTCAAAGTTAGAAACAGGTTAAATTCTGAAATAGCAAGAGCAATTATTTGTATAAAACATTAGATTTCAGAAAAAAAAATTGTAAAACATATATAAATTTATATAAAATTGTGAGGATAGATAATAAGGCGAAATTATTTCGGTCAAAAGCTTGATAGAAATAATGTTTCAGTAATAATAGATCACAAAAAAAAATTTTTTATATTATTTGACTTTTTTTTCAATTTATTTACATTATAATAAAATTTTTGTATTGGAAATGTTGAGTATTACATAATTTTTTTATAGTTTTATTAAAGATTTTTATATTAATCTGTATATATAAACTCCAGTCTAAATTTCGGTTTAGACTCTAATTTCAAATCAGTTTACAAACTAATCCAGTTCAATTTTACCCTCAAACTAATAAAAATCAGACTAAAACTGAACTAGTTGAACCATTAACATCCCTATATATACTTTTATAAATACAATTAAAACCAATCAAAATAATAATACTTCTTATAATAAAAATATTATAAACAAAATTCAATCATAAACTCTTTGTACTAGTATTGGTAAAATGATCTTGAAGTGATCTTAAAATAACCTAATTATGTAATGATTTTACTATGAAATCTATCACGTGATTATATATAAAGTGATCTAGATCACTTCAAAAAAAGGAAATGATCTTGAAATTTGCCAAAATTGCTTTGTATAATATAAAAATTAATAAATTATAGTAAACAAAATAAGCCTTAGAATCAAAAATTAAAGAATTGATTAAAAAATTCTGATATTAATTTAGTAATAAGCCATTGACAAGAAAAATCAGTATCTTTTTCTTTTTGGCAATAAGTATAGATAGACTTCATTTATTCTGTTGAAAAATAAAATATTAACTCCTGAAAATGCTAATCATTACACAATAATTTACAGTGTGTAATGATAAAAATGGTGATTGATAAAATAATATTTTTTTACAAATAAAACATAGAAATTTATAATGTTGATCATAAACAAATCATTAATTTAATATTTCTAAATTTAGAAAACGCGTTTTTAAAATAAATTTTTATTTATTTTTGTTTATTTTTATATTATTTTCTTTGCAATGATGGTTAATACAAGATTAGAAGCTCAAAGACAAACAATTCAACATTACTGATTTAATAGTATTAATTCAGCAAAGGAAATACAAAAAAAAACTGGTATTCTCCTTCGTACTATTGAGCGTAATCTTAAAAAGCTTAGAGAAACAGGTAATATCAATCATCAGTGTAATAATAGTCAGAAATCAAAGATTATACAAACTATATCCCAGGCTATTGAACAATATGTGCACAAAAATACTGCAATTTTGACCTGCCAACTTGCTGCAAAAATACAAAATACCTGTAATATTTCCATTTCATATAAATCCATCTAGAGATATATGAAAAAAAAGGATATGAAAGTTCTGTCCCATTAGCAACTTCGATGCTCACAAATCAGCATATTGAAATATAAAAAGTATGGGCACAAGCACATTTAAATGACAATTAGAGTCAGATAATATTCACTGATAAGACATCATTTAATCTTTTTTGAAATAAGATCAGTCAATGACATAAAAATAGTAAAAGACTCATTCAGAGGTTGCCAAAATCTCGTTAAAAAATAATGGCATAGGAAGGGATTTCAAAAAAAGGAAAAACACCTCTCTTTTGTTTTACTAATATTATAGATAGACCATTTTATGTAAGTATATTATAGAACCAGTTTCTATCTGCTGCAAGAAATATGTATAGAAGAAACTGACATCTGCAATAAGACAATGATCTGAAACACACTTCACATGTTGCAAAGGAGTTTATTGCTGAAAATTTGATTCATACTATTGATTGGCTATCTAATAGTCCAGATCTTAATTCTATTAAAAATATATGGATGATCATTAAAAATAATGTTGAAAAGCGGATGCCTCAAAATATTAATGAGTTGACCAAATTTTTGGTTGAAGAATAGGATGCAGTTCCTCAATCAATAGTGAATAATTTGATTATATTCATGAAAACCAGATGTGAAATAGTTTTAGAAAAAACAGTAATAGAATATTGTATTAAAATTTTTTTATCTAATAAAGGAATTGATCAGCTTTTAAATAAATTTAAATTCATTCAAATCGGATAAGTAGTTTTTGAGATATATTGCTTTTTGTCACTGCTATTTTTTTTGTTACATACTGTATATGTATTTTACAATAAGATTCAATTAAATAATGATTATCTAAATAAGATTCATCACAATTATTAAATAATTAGTTCTTTAAAGTTATCTCTTCAATTAAGCTAATAAGATCCAATGAGATTTAATATTTCAGAGAGTTTTATAAGAAGGATTTCTTTACTTATAGTAATAGGCTGAAATTGCAGTTACTGTTAGCTAAATCTTAAATAAAAAAAATATTATTATTTAAACCAATCATTTTAAAAGCAAATTTATAAAATACAACATTTAATTTTTTATTGACGCAAATAAATTTGTTATTTTATTACACATTAAAATTTATTGTTTCTATTTTCTATAGTACTTCATTTTCTTCTACTGGAATCATCCTTTTCTTTTAAAATAAGAATATTTAACCACTTTCTAATCTTTTTAAATAAGAGTTCACATTCTGTAAATTCCATATTTATAATATCTTCACAATGATAACAACTATACTCCATTATTTGATAATATCCAAAATGATAAGGGTACTGTTAGATATTACCTAATATTATGTTCATATAAGAGTCTACTTTCCTCCTCTCTAGTAATACATGTAGCGAAATCATATGATTTGATTTTATATGTCTAGGAAAAAAATTGATATAATTTATTATAGTTTATATAGTGATAGAAAATAAAAAAAGAAAAATAGCTTAAATCTAATACTTAATTTTGAAAGAAATTCATTTTAAAAAAATATATATACTATTAAAATCTTTCAATGTTTGTGATAATTTTTTTCAAAAATTATTTAAAATTCACAAAGTTTTAACACGTTTGTTACGCAATTAATTTTTAATACTTGTAATATTCTTTTATAAGCATTTTTACATTTTCTTTCAAATATTAAAAATGAGTTGTCAACCATTTTTTTTAGCCCTAAATTTAATAAAATCAATATTTGATTTACTAATTAATAAATATTAGGAGTTTACAAATATCTATGTGTGTAGTGTTATAGTAAAAACAAGTAATTATACTTTCAATCATGCTGTTGTTTGTCAAGAAGTCATAAACTAGTAGAATAACATTAAGAAAAAGAGTGTTAATGATATTGATGATATAATTCAGAACTATATAATCACATCACTTAATTTATATGATATACAGTTAATAGTCAATAAGATACAAACATTCTGTATTTACCAAAAAATCAAATTCTTTTCCTTTTTCTTTCACCATTTGTTCAGTAGACTCTTTATCAGAAATTCCTGCTAATGCTTTAGCTCAAAAAAAGGCAGCAGAAGTAATCCAAATAGCTGAAAAAAATTTATAAACTTGAGCAGATTTATAATGTTTCTAGTGATGTTCAGATTCATCTTAATATTTACCAAAAAATGAAAAACTTGCAAAATGAAGTTAAATATAACAAAGATAAAATTGCAAAGTTAAAAAGAAATATCAAATACTTTCAAAATTACAAAGAAAAAATTGAGATAACTATCAAAAACAAAGAGATTGTTTGTTATAATAAACTTAAAAAGCTATCACTTCTCTTCAAGTATCTAAATTTATATGAACATATACACAATTGCATAGAATTTGGATCAGCTAATACAAAATGATAGAAAAAAGCTATTAAAGTTTAGATAATAGAAAATTTGCATAAAAATCTTGAAAAAAAATATGAAATTACATGGTAAGGACTATATTACCTTTTATCCTGTTAATTAAACTTGATTTTTGCAAAAGTATATCATCATTTAGTATGGATTATAATCACTAAAGTTTTATGTATTTAAATACATGAATATTTTGATAGACATTATTGCCTTATATTAATAAAATATACTAAGCAATTTGCTAGCAATTTTGCTGACATATCAGTTATTATTTTCTAAGATAATAAGGTGAAATTTAAACTTAAAATACCTGCAGTAGGTCATATATTTCGTATATTACAGGTTATTAATAAACTTATAACTATAACTAACTATAATTTTCTTATAGAATATAAATAAAACTAATTTCATCAAGTATTTAATAATAAACCCAAATGAATCTAATAATGAATTATAAACAAGAAAATTAATGATTTTATAAATTTTTAATAGTCTTTTAATACATCTTTACTTACATATATGCAAGACCTGAAAAGTCTTACTTCAAATTTTAAATATAATAATATGTTAAAAATGAATGGAAAAATTTAATCAATATAGATTTTATTAGTGAACAGAGAACCAGACAAAAATCCTGGATACTTTAAAAATATAAAACCCTATTGTCAACTTTTTAAAAAGTTCAACTTAAATTTTTTAAATATACAAACGTATACCTTAAGATAATTGAAATACAATCCAGTTAAAAGGGATATAGTAACATTATCTGAACTTGCTGATATTACTTTGCTAATTGACCAATTTAGTATGCATCTGAATATAAGGTAAAATTATAGATTCAGAATTAACGACTCAAAATTTTTACTATTCAGGAGAAGCACTTTGTAAAATTTGATGTTGTGATTTGATTTTTAGAAAGAAAGTTGATGCTTATTATGTCAATATATTCACAAATTTATTTAAACATATACAATTTAAGAGAATAGAAAAAAAGGCTGAAGAATTAAAAAGAACAAAAAAAGAATAAAAAAATCAAATAATGTAAATGAAGAAATAATACATACTCATTCTAAAAGTTTTATATTATAGTTCTAAATCAAAATTTACTGTAATTTGTGTATCTATTCTCTAGATATCAAATGATATATAAAAGCAGTTGCTATAGACTATCCAATATTAAAGAAGCTATGGATTTTCTTCAACAACATAATAGTTTCTTATCACTAATTACCAAAATCAAAGATGGTGATTTATAAATATGATTCATCTTCTTTAGTATAGCAATCTTTTGAAAATACTAGGTTATGATACCTATTATACATTTATTAAAAAAACACATATTTATTACTTTGTTGTCCTATTTATCAGAAGTATTTTTCTACTCTTATATTCCTAATAAATCATAAATAATTAATATATCCTACTATTTGAAGACGACCTAAAAGATAGAAAAACTCATCTTTTAACAATCTTTCTCTTCTTTTATCTTAATAAAAAAGGTCATATGATAAAATGGAACTTGAATTAAGGACTTGTAATTTAAATAAAAAATAAAAAAATTTTATAAAAAATGTATATATATGTGTATATTATATCAATCTAATAAAATAAATATATAATATAATAAATTTTGCTAAGCTACTTATTATCATGTAATTACAACTATTATCACATAATTATATTATTATATGTAATTTAAGATCTCTGTTTTTCCTTCTATTTTTTAAGATGTTAGGTAATATTTGACAGTGCATTTAACCATGTCTACAAATAAATACTTTACTATTATCAAATTTTTTTGTTATAATAGTCACAAATATTTTTAAATATTTGAAAAATATCTTGGTTTCTTTTGCATTAATTTCTTCTGTTATCAAATTATTATTATTCTCAGAATTGTTTTGTGATGATTTCAATTCATAATCAACACAATAAATTGACTTTTTTTTCTTTTGATTTAAATAATGATTTATAATTTTTCTTCATTTTACAAGAGAACTGTTATTTGACTGCCTCAGTAATTTGAACAAAATATTCTCTCAAATCAATCAAATCTTAAATTTGTTTTTAATATTTTAAATATTTAAGTTAGAAGAAATAGAGCTAAGATTTTTAAGATTTTGTAAATTATTTAAATAGTAAAAGTTAAAATTTTGTAAAATTCTACTAAAAATCTGCTATTTTAAAGTTTATAAAAATGGTAATACTATATCAAATCTTAATAAAAAATAATGAAACTAAAGGTTTAAATAATTTGTTAAATCTAAATAAATTTAAATAATTAATCTAAATATCAATATAATTTTTAATTAATGATATAACCTAATTAAATCAAATATAAAATCCTAATACAATTATTCTCTATTATAGTAATATCTCTTAAAATCAAAAATAAAAAGTATGATATAATAAAAGTAACTATATAGAGGGATTTTATATATTATTATTATATATTAATCCTAAAAGTATATAATTATAAAGAGGATTTTATATAATATTAATAAGTATTAGTATTTACAAAATATATACTTATTAGAAAAATAAAAATTGTTGTTAAGTCTAAAACAATTTTAACTAAAAAAATTTACACTGATATTTATTTATTTAAGATTTTATGCAATTATAAAATCTAATCAGTATTGACTCAATTATTGAGCTAGAAAATATTAAAATAGTTTTTGTTATATATAATTCTATACTTTGTTTTAAACTAATAATAAAGAATTTATATTATATGATCATACTAAGGGTGATTATAAAGGAAATAATTGTATTTATAATTCTAAAACATTTAATCTTAAATGATAAAATTGAAATTCTTAATTAATATAATTTAAATAATTCTTTTTATTTAATAGAAATAATAATTTTAATTATTTCTATCAAATGATATTTTTATCATTTAATGAGTATAATAATTTTAATTATTCTAATGAATAATTTTTTTATTATTTAATAAGAATAATAATATTAATTATTCTATTAAACAATTTTAATTAATAAAAATCTTAGTATTTAATATTCAATAAAAAAAGATTATATAAATTAATTTTATAAAATATTAAAAATATTAAATTTACTTTATATTATTTTTAAAATAATAAAAATATAAATAAAAATGTTAAAAGCATATTATTAACAGAAGAAATAATAATATTATCTAATATTATGTAAGACTTGCAAATCAATAATAATCTTATCTTAAATAATTTTACATTAAATAGTAATCAATAATAATTTCTACTTTACTTATTTTTTTATAAATTTTTCTATAGTTTATTTTTTTTGTTAAATTTTTTTTTTTAGTTTATTTAACTTTTTAATTTCTTTATTACTTATTATTATTTATATTATTATTTCATTAAAATATATTTTTATTATAGTATTTATTTTTATTTAATTAATTTATATTATAATAAATAAATAATTATTTCTTAAATTATAAAGTTTTGTAAAATTACTTATAAGCTAAATATTTGTAATTTTTAAAAAATTTTTAAATTAAAAAATTTTATCTTTGACCTTTAACAATTTTATTAACATTTAATATTAATCATAATAGAATATTATAAAATTTATTATGAAGAATAACTTTAATTATTATAATTTTTATAATTTATTAAAAAATTAATACTTTTTTTTTATATTAAGTATATGATCATATTATTATAAATAAAGTATCATTTTCTAAAAAAATTATTTAAGCTTTATTGAATATAATTATAGAGATCAAGTAATAAAAACATTTATAATCTTATGTAAATCATATTTAAACATTATAAACAATATTAAAAGTTTTAAAGAATTACAGAAATTTTACTTGATGGAAATTACAATATAAATTTTTTATCAGATTATTATCAGGTTTATTTGCTAACAAAATTCTTATATTCTTTTATATAAATATTTTTAATCACCTTGCTATTGACTTATATCTTGATATATTTTTAAAAATAATTTTAAAATATTTGGTAATTTATGAATATATTTTAACTAATTAAGTAAGATTATTTATTTTATTTATAGAAAACACATTTTTTTATATATCAGATCAATATTTATATTTATATTTCTAATAAATTTTTTTAATTTTTACTTAATAATTCTAATTAATATTTATTATAAAGAAAATAAAAATCTGTATAAAATAATGTAATATAATTTTTTATATTGTATTTTAAATTTTTTCTTTTTTTTTTTAAAATTACATATAACTAAAAAATTTATAATTAGATTAATTCAAAAGTTTTATATATATATAATTATAGTAAAAACATTATTATAAGCATACTTCTATACAATCATACCATTTGATAATCCCGTAAGGTGTAATTATAAAGAAGGATGATTATATTTAGCTTATAAATAATCTTAAATTATTTATTATATAATTAAAAAATAAAGTTATTATAATATTATATATATTTATAAATTAATTTAAAAAAAATAATTTTTAAAAATTTTAATTTTTCATAAAAGTAAATTAGAAGGAAATTTATAATAAATAAGCAGGCAAATTTATCTGTAAAACCCTATAGTTTAAAGGATAAGGATAGGTAATTAAACTAAATTTTTAGATTAATTTAAAATTTTTAATTTAAATCAGGATTGTAATTTAATTTAGATTTAAATTAGTATTTTTAGTAAATTAAATTGAACTAAACAATTTTAAAGCATTAATCATAATAAATACATTTTAATTTATATAATTAAAGAAAATAAAAAAAATAGAAAGTTTACTTTAATATATTTAATGACAAATTTATATAAGCTTTATCTAATAATATTTGTATATACACAAAAGTAGCAGACCTTTTATTTTTGTTAATTACTCAAAATTATACATAATAATAATACTTGAAATTTTAATATGTGATAATATAAATACCACAGAATTTATATTTAAAATTTTGTGTTTCTAACTTTCATGCAACTGTATTAATCAAAAAAATAAATTTAATAATTGTTAAATTACTTAGATAAAAGTGGTAATCCCTCTATTTTTATTAATTACTTGAAATTACATATAATAATGATGCTTGAAATTTTAATATATGATAATATAGATTTTAAAGAACATAAATCAAATTTTTACGCTTCTAATCTTTATACAGCTGCATCAATTAAAAAATTTAAAAAAATTCTGATTATTAAATTAAAAAAAAAAACAAAAATTATGAATTTGTAAAATAAGAATATAAAAATTCATGCTTATTTATTCTCCTAAACTATTGCTTTCAAAATAATATAAAAATTAAAATATTTATTATGTATAATTCTAAATAAACTGACTATTTACTTACTATTATATAATATATATACGTGATAATTGTTAATAAGTTTTTTTTTAGTAAATATAGTTGTATGAAGGCTAGAATTATGAAATTTAGAATGTATGTTCTTTAGAACTTATGTCATCAATTATTAAAATTTCAATTATTATTATTATGTATAATTTTGAGTAATTAACAAAAATAAAAGGTTCGCTACTTTTGTCTAGGTAGTGTATATTTTACTTTATAAAGAAAATTATTATATTTATATAGGTAGAAAAAAAACTTTTATTTGTAAAAAATAATTGGAATAAGCAAAAGAAATAATGAATTTCATTTTAAAGTATTTGAATTATAAAGTTTAAAAGAGTGTCAAAAAAAAAAAATATAATGTAGATTATCTTGTATTTACATTTAAATTTTGGCCAAAAAGGAGGGTTGTTTTAGTTCTGGTATGGAATCATTGATATGACTTGAATTAAGCCTTATTTGATCGAATCTCAAAAAGACATTTCCATTGACAAATCAACGATTGCCGATCGTTAGGTTAACCACTATTCGTATAAATTTCTTTTTTTTTTTTTTTTACATTTTTAAATTTGAAAATGGAAAAACGTCGCGTTGCTATTGTTGGAGCAGGTAAATAACGTGTTTTTTTTTTGCCTTTCTGATATAAATTTATATTTAATCATTAATCAAATGATTGCTTAATCCAAAGGCTCTTCTGGCCTCACAAGTATCAAACAATGTCTTGAAGATAATCTCGAACCTGTTTGTTTTGAAGCATCTGATCATACTGGTGGACTTTGGCGTTATACAGAAGTAAATGAGAAAAATAAGGATCCACATTCTTCTATTTATCAGAGCGTTGTCATTAATACTAGTAAAGAAGTGGTAATGAAAACAGTTTTTTTCTTTTCTTAATCATTATCACACATTTAAAAATGAGTTACCTTTTGACAGATGGCTTTCACTGATTTTCCTGTTCCTTATGATTGGCCATCTTTTTTACATAACAAATACGTTGTTAAGTAAGCTTATTTTATAAATTTTTTTTTAATCGAAAACAGATTTGCACATGATACTTATAATTATACATTAGATACTTTGATATGTATGCGGAAAAGTTTAACCTTTTACCATATATCAAATTTAATTCTCCAATTCAACGCTTGTCAATTCGTCCCGATGGTCGATGGAATGTTTGTTATTTAAATAAAGATAAGAATGAAGAACATGAAGAAATATTTGATTATGTAATGGTTTGTATTGGGCATCATCGTTATCCAAGAATTCCTAAATACATAGGAATGGATAAGTTTACCAATAAACAAATACATTCTCACTTATATCGTCGGTAAGTATCTTCTTATGTACTGAGTTTCGCTTTTTTCCCCAAATATGCGTTATAACCATCATGATCATATGTAGTGCTAGCGATTATGAAAATAAACGTGTTCTTGTTGTAGGATGTGGAAATAGGTAACAAAAAGTTTTAAAAAATTCACTGTAATATATTTTCTTTGTTTTTTTTTTGCCGAATGAATAAAATTTAATACTCAATTAATATCGAACCTTGTTTTTTTTTCGTTTGTGCACGTTTAGTGGGATGGACATTTCCGTTGAATTATCCAGTGTCGCGTCTCAAGTATTTTTGTGTTCACGAAGAGGTATTATTGATTAATTGCATTTTTATTTCTATAAAATTATGATTTATTCAATTTTTTATTATATATTTTTAGGTTATCTTCCATGGATCCTTCCACGGCGTTTATTTGGTCGTTTATCAGCTGACCAATTAGCGACGCGTTTTTTCCATTACTTTCCAGGATTTCTAAAAAATTGGTTAATCGAATTTATTGCAAATTATACAGTTGGTCCACATCCTCAAGGATTTAAACCAAAGACACCACCAAGTGCAAATCATCCAACTGTTAAATCTGATTTTCTTGAGCGCGTTGCAATTGGTGTAATTATACCTAAGCCTGATATTGCTGAATTAAAGGTCGATAATTCAATCGAATTTGTTGATGGGAGTGTAATTGAAAATATTGATGCAATTATTTATGCAACTGGATATGATTTCGTTAATATTCCATTTATGGATAAAGAAATTATTTCCGGTGGTAAAGAAGTTGAAAATCAATTTGGAAATGAAGAATATCAAGAGAACTTAGTTTGGTTATATAAATTTATTTTTCCACCAAGGATTACTAGTATCGCTTTTATCGGATTTGTTCAAGCAATTGGTGCTATAATGCCTGTTAGGTAAATAATGTCAATTTTCTTTCTTTTCTTTTTTTTAATTGTTAAAACTTTTTTAAAAAAATCACTTCATTGTCTTATTTAATAGTGATTTACAAGCACAATATGCAACAAGTTTCTGGACTGGTAACTTATCTAAGACACCAACACCTGAAGAAATGGAAAAAGACATAAAGAAAACCCAAGATATTATAAGAAAACGTTATTATCATTCAGCAAGACACACTATTCAAGCTGATATGATTCCTTACATGGATGAATTAGCAAAAGATATGGGTTGTTTACCTTATCCATCAAAAATTTTATTCAAATTTGGTCCAAGATTGTGGAAACTAGTCCTATTTGGCGTGCCAACTCCTATTCATGTAATTTATTCTCTTAAACGTGATTGAGTATTTTGTTTTTAGGTTTATTGACGCCCTTTTTTTTCCTATTTAGTATCGTTTACTTGGAAGACAAGCTTGGAATGATGCACCGGAAGCGATTAGGATATACAATGGATGCAAGCCCTCACTTTCAACTTTGAAAAAGAATAAATAGATCGACACCATTGTCATAATTATGCGATCGTACTTATACCTATTAGACCGATCTATTTATATTTATTTATGCGTTTCTAAGATACATCTTTAGCTGTGATAATTATTTATTTATAAATTAATGGTTCAGATTCTTTCTGAAAAAAAATTGTTCTGTGTCAAAGTCTTCTTTTATACTGAAATTTTCCAAACCTACCTTGTATTAGAAATTTCTTTTGTAAAAAAATTTAATAAGATAAAAAAAAAAAAATGATATACAGTCGAACCCTCTCTATAGCCCCCCTCGGGACCAAAAAATATGATATAATTATAAAATATTATATGATGTGAATAAAGAGAGGTTTTTTTTAATAAGTTTATTAGTAACTTGGGAAGTATGCTTATAAAGGGGGATGTGACTATATGTGGGGTTACTATCCCTTAAACTGTAGAGGTTCGCAGGCAAATTTGCCTGCTTATTTACTATAAATTCTCTTCTGATTTACTTTTATGAAAAATTAAAATTTTTAAAAATTTTTTTTTTTAAATTAATTTTATAAATATATATAATATTATAGTAAATTTTATTTTTTAATTATATAATAAAGAATTTAAGGTTACTTATAAGCTAAAAATTTGTAATTTTTAAAAAAATTATAAATTAAAAAATTTTATCATTGATTTTTGACCAACTTATTAATATTTACTTTTAACAATATTAATCATAATAGAATATTAAATATTTTTTTGAAAATTTCTTGAATAAATTGATTTACTAATTATAAATAATTTTAGATTTTTTACCAAATAATAATAGAAAAATTAAACTTAAGCTAATACGTCAATTGATGTTTGATATTCAAATTAATAGTAATATAAATAAAATATTATATAATATAAGGAGAAATCATATTATAATATTATTAAATTTTTTAATATTATTATAAAAAGAATATTATTATCATAAAATTCTTATATATTATTTTATTATTTTTATTAAAATATAAAAAGTATATTATAACATTAAAAAAATATTTAAATTTTTATATTAATAAAAACTAAATATATATTTACTTTAAAATAATATTAAGTAACTAATTTTAATATTAAATTTTAGATAATAAATTGGAAATTGGTATATTATTATATATATACTTCTAAATGTTGGGTTATATTTATAATAATGAATATACTATTGATCTTAAATATAATTGAAATTAAATATGTATATATTTCATTAATGTATTTTTTCTCTACATTAATTAATAAATTATATTTTTTTTTATTTACAAAATAAAAATCAAAAAATCAAAAATTGCAAACTCTTTTAGGTATAAAATAAGTTATTTGATTATTTATTAAAATTAATATACAGTCAACCTTCTCTATCCCTTAAACTGTAAAGCAGGCAAATTTGCCTGCAAACATAAAAAAAAAGTATTAATTTTTTAATAAAATATAAA